AGGGTTAAGGTTGAAAAGGTTTAGGGCTTAGCGTTAAGGTTGAAAGGGTTTGGGGTTTAAGGGTTTATAGGGTTTCGGGTTTAGGGCTAAGGTTGAAAGGGTTTAGGGTTTAGGGGTTTATGGCTTAATACTTTGGCCCCGCAAAGTACCTGTATGTAGGGGTTGCAGGATATAGTTTGGTTTAGGATGGTTTAGGGAGTTTGGTGGTTTTGGGGTTTAGGATGCGTTGCGGGTTTAGGAAGTTTAATAGGGATTTAAAGGCTTCGAGGTTCGGGGGCATCAAGAATTTTTAGGTTCCCAAACCCCACACCCTAAACCCTAAACCCGGTCGTGTTTTGGGGGGTTAGGAGGGTGCTTCGGTTCAGCGCGCTGCTGGGGGGATGCTTGAGGATTTTGTCTGGAAGATCGGAAGTTTACCCGGAGTTAGGGTTTAGGGTTTAGGGTTCAGCAGCTCCGGATTACTATTCGATAGAGAGGGTTAAGGGTTTCGGGTTAGGATCCCACAGATGGGCTTTACGGTTCGAGGCACGAGAGATGCCTCGTATACTTCGTGTATATGTATAGTAGGTCAATGTCTCGCGCAGCCCCATATGGGTAGTTGTCAACATTATGGCCCCTTTTGGGGTACCCTAAATAATAGGTGCCGTATTATAATAAGTATTCAAAAAGGGGCCATAATGTTGACAACCACCCATATGTCTAAGCTCCAACAAAACTTGGAAGCATGTGGCTTTGGGATTTGTCACTTGAGGACCTAGGGAAGCCTGCAATTGCTGATGCTGTAATGTAAGGGCCTTAATAATTAGCATGGGGTTTGGGGGCCCTTTCTACTATATGTATATATATATATATACATATAAATTAAGCAACCCCTAAAATAGTATTGGTAGTTATTTACGCCCATACATTATGTTCCGTGTCATTGCCAGCGGTCTAAAACGAAAACTGCGAGACTGCACCCCGGATCCTTCCTTTGGCTTCGACATGCTAGTTGATGAACTACTACCTATACTTGGAGGATCATGGGACTTAGTAAGTATGGTAATTGGGATTATAAGTAGTTATATGTATAGTTACCCTAAATAATAACCTCAGTTTCTAAATCCCATGATCCTTTAAGTAGTCTCCACTGTAGTTCCTTTTTTTGCTTATGCCAAGTTCTATTTCTATATTTGGGATGCCATAAGGGAACCCCAAAAAGGAACTACACTGGAGACTATAGGTATCTTGTAACACGGGATCCTATGAGGGAACCCAAAAAAGGAACTGCACTGGAGACTATAGGTATCTTGTAACACCCCCGTTACGGCCCCTCCATATATCATTACCTTGAACTGAACCTTAGAGACTCAACAGCAACCTGAAGTCTTCAAAACCCGAGACCCTGAACCTCAAACACCCCAAAACCTTCCAAAACTCCACGCCCCAAACTCTCTGAGACTTTGGCGCCCTAGCTCCAACAGGGTTCGTATGCTAGGTATGGTAGGATGACCCTAAACCCTAAACCCTAAACCGTAAACAAGGCCACAGTTTGCCTACACAGTCCCTGGGTTGAAACCTCCACAGCACTCTCCAAAATGCCCGCGCCAAGCTGCACCGCTGAAGGGCCGCCGTCGAGTGAAGGTGAAACTCCAGAGGCCAAAACGCTCTCGCGCAAGGTCCTCTTTTACGGGATGCTGCTTCTTTTTGATGCAACCATGCTTGTGTATCATCCTTGCTTTCGAGGGTCATTCTGATACATTATTGTGTCAAGGGCACTTCTCTTGTTCAGGACCCTAAACCCTGAACCCTGAACCTCTAAACCCCAAACCCTAAATCCTAAACCCTATTTAGTGTGCTTTCCAGGTGTAGGGCTCAGGGATTAGGTGTCAGGCTCGAGCTTGATTAAGTGTTAGCATTCTGTTGTACTGGAGGCTACGGCTATGCTTCTGTGGATATGAGAGTAGATCTGGTCGTCATGACTAATCGCTCTATAGCGGCGAAACAAGATTGACATGGCCGAGTTTAGACATTCTTGAGAACATGTGCATCTTAACACTCTCGGAGAACCTTTCATGAACAAAAACCGAAACCTCCAAAACAACCGGGCCAAAGCTTGAGTGATTTACCCTAAGGCTCTAAGTTAGTAAGGACTCATACTGCAAGGCTTTTGGGCCCAAAGACCATCCTGTGAAAGGCTTCTGGGCTATTTTGAGCCTAGGGTTACGGCCTTTGAGAACCGCAACGCTGCAAGAGCCTCCAACCACCATGCCGCATAGATCACACGACATTGAAGCAACTGCAGCCATCACTCGCCATGACTGATGCTTTTGCTGCTAGAATGACAGCAGAAGTTAGTTTTGTTCTTCGGATTGCCCACTGTTCACATCCATAGGGCTTAGGGCTTAGGGTTTAGGACTGTCACTACTATTCCGTCCATTCGTTGTTCCGCGAGATCTTCTCACAAGGCTGTGGACTAAGCTCTGCAGCTCCAAACCCATAGTCCCGCCTGAGCCTTTGTCAAACCAGTCCTGGAGATTGCAATCTGTTGATGAGTTCTGGAGAGCATGTTAGCATTCGGTTGAAGGGTCGAGGAGACGAGGATTATTGAAGCTTGAGCATGGTGAGGTTTAAGACTTGCGGCTTTTGGGGTTCAGGGGCAGGGTTGGAACTTACCGGCCAACGTACCATGACTCAACCATGCATCGGATTGCCATCGACCGCTCAGCTTAGTCTTGCTAGAGGCAGTGATCTCCGGCACCCCCAAAAACCCGAACATCCACCCTCAACCCCAAACCCTAAACCCCTAAACCCTAAACCCCTAAACCTGAAACTGAAACCCTAAAACCCTCAACTCTACACCCTGGGACCCTAAACCCCTCAACCCCAAACCCAACAAAAACCGAACCCTCGGTGCCTAAGGGATTTCTATACGTAGATTCAACCAGGGGGTCCCCACCGTGCCTGTGAGTACTGCGCAGGGGCACACAAGAAACAACATGGTTTAGGGTTTAGGGTTTAGGGTTTAGGGTTTAGGGAACAGCGTGGGTAAAAGAAGGCTAAGGGTCCATGTACCCAAATCGTATATTTCTTTTATACTTTGGAGCCAAAGTATATACTATTTAGGCACATGGACCGTGAGGGCAATACTTCGCCATGACTAACTATAGAACCTTGATTCAGGATTCGAAGTTTTGAGGTTGGGGTTGAGGAGCTTAGGGTTCAGGATTTCAGATTTCTAGATCTTATATGGTTGGTCTTCCACCTTTCCCAAACAAGGAAAAGACAAACTACCTACATTCCTAAGGGATGCTGATAATTCTAAGTAACATATATCATAAGCGTACCATAACTAAAATATATATCACAACAACCTTTTTCCCTAAGGGTCCAAGTACCTAATAAGCATATGCTCTCCCAAATGTTAACCACTATCCGCAACCAAAGTACCCTAGTATTGCGTCCTTTGGACCCTTCGGGTTTCTAAGTCTAAAGGCCCTTCGGGTTTCTAAGTCTAAAGGCCGAAGGCAGCTTTTTTTTTTGGGGGGGGGGGGCTCAGGCTGATAGTCTTCAGTTAAAGGCCTGTGGACATCTACGGATCATAAGCATTTAGGGCTTTAGGGGTTTGGGGTTTAGGGGTTAAGGGTGCCCTAAACCCTAAACACTAGCTGGGTCTCGCTTTTGAAGCGAAACATTCATCATCTTCGGGTGGAAGGCTCCATCCAACAAAGGGGCCTTAATAATTAACATAGGGTTTGGGGGTATATTACACTATAATCATAATGAGGAGCCCCAAAATAGCATAGGTAATTATTAAAAAACCCTAAACCCTAAACCCTAAACCCTAAACCAAGGCCGCTACATTAGGTCTAAACTTCAGGACTGAATGCATCGGTCACGGCATTCCTCCCGGTTCGGAATTGAAATTCAAGTGCTGGGTGGGTTTAGGGTTTAGGGTTTAGGGTTTAGGGTTTAGGGTTTAGGTGTAGGGTGCAAAAGGCCTCATGCAGTTGATCAGTTTGGATCCCTACGCCCTAAACCCTAAACGCCAGGCCCAGGAATTCGGGGTTCTAGGGTTTAGGGTTTAGGG